TGGTCGTCTCGAAAAGCGACTTAGAAACGAAATAGCTGTGCTGTTGGTTTGCTCGAAGAAACAGACAGCACCGATTTTCAAATGAAGAATTGGTTTGATCGTTTTGCGATCCAACTGGTTGACATACGGTACAGAGGACCAGATCCGAGGCAGATTTTTGAAATAGAAGCGTAAAGAGTCTAGTTTTGATGCTGTATAGATCCGAAAGTTGTGCACAGTTAAGTAGTAGTAATGCATATACAGTTGGTACGTCTATAAATGAAGGGGGTCGAATCGGAAAATATGGTTGGGATCGAGCTGCCCAGACGGAGTGCTGCGTAGTGTGGCCACGTTGGCGAGACCTGAAGAGACAGAGATGCGGCATGACTTTGAGGTTGGTGGAAGCAGAGTCCGTGGGCTGTTGAGGAGCAAATGAAAGCCAGTCAAGATGGACTTGAGGACATTGTGATTGGAGGAATTTGCTTGGGTCTCGACGCTGTCTGAGCGGGGTCCTCTTTGTACGGGGGTCCAGCCGATTCTGTCGTCATGCTTTTGAAGATGTCGGTGTTGATGCTAATGCTGATACTGGTATTAATTAGGAGATTGATGCAGATGGCAAAGCGGATGCTGGTGCTGATGTTGCTATGGCTTTTGATGCAGATAATGATAGTAATGTTGATACTGGAGATGGAACTGATGCGGATGCGAGTGCCGATGCTGTGTGAATGTTGGGGCTGATGTTGATGTTGATGCTGATATTGATACTCGTACCGATACGAGGCGCTAAGGTGTGGGGCATGGCGGCAAAGTGATGAACTTTATAATAAGAAGGGTTGTTGGGGGTTACTTTACTTCCTACGGGAGGAAATGGAACATTCAACAGTGTTCAGATGAGGCAATCGAAAAGTATAGAAACGTGGAGGGGATGCGCTGAGGCAGAGGACGTGGAGGTGTGCAGCAGATGCCCTCGCTCTAAGAGAGACAGCGCCAAGGTGGAAATCGATCCAGCAGTGAGTTCGTGCTGTTTACCATTTTGTGAGGTGTGAAGGTCGGCGTCTGATTGGTGCCGAATAGTTGACTCGGCCGAGGGGATTGGGTGGATTCTGGTTAGTCTAATCGCAGGCTTAGGTCCGATAGACGAGACTGATTGGTTAACAATCAGAGCGTGTCGAGCCTGAGTGATGTGTGTATGAGAGGAAAAAGCTAGTGGCGTAAGGTCTGCTGCTTGAAGGGGACAGAACAGACATAGTGAGGAGGCTGGGATGAGTCACTGCACCAACCGTAATTGAAGAGAAAATGATCGGCCTATTTCGAAAAGGAATTAAGAAACAAATACACATATTCGTATTAAAGTAGGGTTTCGAGACTACCAGTAA